GTTTAAGAGTGTGTGTGTGTGTGTGTGTGTGTGTGTGTGTGTGTGTGTGTGTGTGTGTGTGTGTGTGTGTGTGTGTGTGTGTGTGTGTGTGTGTGTGTGTGTGTGTGTGTGTGTGTGTGTGTGTGTGTGTTCTTAAGACTTGTATCTTTGTCAGTTCATAAAACCAGAAGTGGTTTCAACCGCACATCAGTTACACATGAAGACTCGCCGGCTTCTCGCACGATACCCACACAACCAAAACCACTTCCTGTTTGACTCCTTAGAGACGCACTCAAAGGCAGAAAGCTGTCTTTAATTTTGACAGTTTAAAGAGCCCAGTGATGTAGTTAGTTACAGTCACTGTATCAAATAAAAACACTGCACCCTTAACATGCTATCACTCCCAAGTATGGAGTACAACACAAACAAAGCAATAACATATACCGTATATCAGGGGCGGACTGGGAAATCAGCCCGGGACTCTCGACCGGCCCACTACGGTACCGCCGGCCCACCTCGGTACCGAAAGTAAATACCGCTAGTAAATTGTCAACGGGGGTGGGGGGGGAGGGGGGTGGTGCTAGTGACTCTTATCCGACCGGCCCACATCGTCCGACCGGCCCTCTTCAGTACCGGCCCATAGGGATTCGTCGTGCCACCAACTCGAACAAAGTGGCTCAAAAGTAGGACAAGTTAATAAACAAGGAAGTTACGATGCCAATTTTAAGATAATGGTGATCAATGAAGCATCAAACAACTGTCGCGCAGCAAAGAAATATGATGTTACTGAGTGTAACGTTAGAAAATGGCGACCCTTAAAAATGTAAACAGTCAGAGAAAAGGTATTTTTCCAAAAATTGTTCTTGAAAAAGAGGGGTCGTCATATATTCGGGTAAATACGGGAATTGTCTCTTTATCAACAGAATAGTGTTTGTTCTGTGCTTTTTAGCATGGTGCAGTAATGAAGCACGCATTCACACATTTACTGCAGACAGTCAGTGTCTCCAGCTCAGATTAGCCTGCTCTGTTTTGTCCAATCAGATTGCAGCTAATTTGTAAACAGCCTCTCAGAGCCACGGAGTTCCCGCCCACATTAATGAACCCCATAAGTTATGGTATCTGATCGCCTTTTTGACAAGTATTGATCATTGTTATTGAGTGAAAGAAAAACACAAAAGATTTCCCTTGGTTATCCGACCGCTGATAAATGATCACTACTAAAATGCAGCAGTTTTTAATGCATCATTTATATAGAAATGATTATGTTTTCTGATGTAGAAGGCTAAAACAAGTCTGTCTTTTGAGTCGAGAGTTAAGAAAAAGAGAAAATGCTGAAAATGAATTACATTTTGTGAAGCCTGTTATGTGACTACAGCTCAAACGTGAGTGTCTCTATTTTAAGTGAAGAACAAAGAAGGGTGTTGGCATTCAATCCAGAAAATCAAATTGAATGTATTAATGAAATGTTTCTTTCTTCTGTGTTTTATCTCTTTTGATCCAGGATGAGAAATTGACCGTAACACAGGCCTCTGCAGCGAGTGGGGCCCCCTCTTTTCTACGCTTCCAGTACCAGCTGAATGAGCGCCGCTCGGCCTCCTGGGATACGTTTCTATCGAGAGACTGCCTCTTCCTGGAGGTCCCTGCCGGGGCGCTGGTGGACGGCAGCAAAGAGGGGTGAGGATTGCTTAAGACCCCTAACTTATAACACCCCCTGATGGGTTTTCATGATATTAAATGAGAGGACTGCATTTATTGATATCTGAGGCGGTACCTTCCCCCTCTTTAGGTTTGAACAATGTTATTAAAGTTGTCAAATTCTCCAAAAAACGTTCCAGCCCACTGGGGAGATTTTAGAATATTGTTTTCCCTCTAAAGGAATTAAATGATATCATTAAGTGCAAGATATCAGAATCAGAAAACCTTTATTAGTCCCACAGAGGGGACATTTACATTGTTACCTAAGAAGCATGCATACAAAAGTATTAAAGATACAAAGAAAATTATAATAAAAAGAGTTACAAAAAACACATCCTGTAACAGTTCTGAGGATTTAGCAGCCAGGTATATACTGCAGTCATTAACGGCATGTATATATATTGCACATAATTGGTTGGTATTTAACAACAAAGGGTGTTATTGTCCAAAGTGTGCAGAGCAATGTCTGCACACCGTACGGTTTTAACATCGTACGCTAGGATCGTGTTTTCAGGCCATCGGTGCGTCTCAGATTAAATGAATGCTAATACGTTTGGTTTCCACGGCCTGGCTTTGTGCTGCTGTAATCGATGCCAGAGCAGAGTAATCGATGCCAGAGCAGAGTAACCTTCCCGCTGCGGGCACACAGCTCTGCAGCTGCCTCTGCAGCACTTATGTAAAGTTGCAGCACTTATGTAAAGAGGGGGAAACCAAACACTGTGTGTATTCACCTCTCCTTGTTTACAAACTGGTTCTCTCTCTCTCTCTGTCCCGCTCTCCCTTCGATGATTCAATATGCGTGTTTGGTATGAATGTCACAATGGCAACATTGTTAAATCACAAAGAGGTTATAAAGATAACGGTGGAAGAGAATAATATTGTTCTCTCTCTCTGCTTCTCCCTCAGGCTAACTGCGCTGCTTGAGTTTGTGGAGGAGAAGCTGAAAGTTAACTACGTGTTCCTGTGGTTCCATAAAAAGAGAGAGGATCGATGTAAGAGCTCTTCCTCTTTTTATAAACTGTTTTTTCTTTAGAGGCAGGGATTGCTTTTCAAAACCTTTTTAAATTGAGTTTAAAAAACATCAGTAATATAGATTTTACTAAATGGATTTCCAGTTACGAGGCAAAATGTTGTTGTTGACTAGGCAGCTTTTAGGAAGTGCAGAGAAAACAGAACATTCTGAAGTTGAGAAAAATACATCTTTTGAAAGCCTCATTTCTCAACATGTCATATTTCAACAGAGTCTAAAGGCATGAGCTAATTGCAGCTCTGAGGTATTCTATAGGTTTCTCAGGTGCAGGCTACGATGTTGTGATTGGATTCTTCAGTATTGTTGAGAAGAGTGTCATCACCCAGGTGTACCTGCAGCTAAACGTCTGCCTCTCTTCCTGTCTCTCCCCCCCCCCCCCCTCAGCGACCATCTTCAGGACGTTCCACTTCATGGGCTTTGAGATGGTGAAGCCGGGACACCCCATGGTACCGGCCCGGCCCGATCTGGCTTTCATGGCTTACTCTCTGGACAACAGCAGCTCAGATGAGGAGTGACTGTCGCCGTGACAACTCCCTCTCCCACCCTAGCCATCCCCCCCCATAGAAACACACCTTCTGCCTGTTCTCTCCTTTCAATCTGACACAAACCTCCCAAAGAATCACTTGGACGAGGTGTCACCTTTTTTTTTGTTTTTTGTATAGACTTGTGATTTAAGGGGGATTGGGATTTCCATGTGACGCAGATTCCTCCCCCTCCTCCCTACCCTCCTCCTCCCTCCCAGAGGGGATCTGCAGATTGGATATATTCTTTATATATTTTCGCGCTGCCATCAAGAAAACAGTTTGGTATTCGGGAGAAGGCGTGTTTTACATTAAAATTCAGCATATCTCTCCTGACAGCTTCCGCTTTGAGAAAAGAGACTTTGTGTGCGCTATAGCATGCAAGCTGTGTTTGGTAGGGATACAAAGAGGGAATGATGGTGTATGGTATGTTCAATAACATGTTGTTTCACTTTATAAAAAAGATGGGCGACAGCCTGATTTGATGCATTTGACATTATAGCCCATGTAAGCATTACTCTACTCTTCCTCCTGACTCATCATCATTCCAGCACCTTTCAAGCTCTGTAGCCACAAACGTGGAGAAACCCTGTTATTCTAAGGGTGTAAAAAGCAGCCGGTTTGTTGAGATGTCACACCAGGCTGGCTGTCAGCTCTTGGAGGTCAACCACCTTCCTCCTCCTCTTCCTCCTCTTGGTGATAATCAACCTGTCACTCAGACGGGAGGAAGAGCAGAGCGGCCTCACTGTGGTCACACACAGAAACCACTGCTTCGAGTCACTTTGTTTTTGTTCAAAGACTGTCATCTTAATAATTGTAGGAGTAAGAGGGTCCGGTTTAAAGAGAAGCTCCACTTTGCATTTAAATGTACACATAATGTTTTAATCCTGTGCAGCCCCAGTTTGTTGCCTCGTGTATTTTCATTACGTCACATTCAGAGTTAAACATCGGCTCTATGAATCTGGATGGGAAAAAAACACGTTAAGAAACATTTTTCAAGCTGCGACTTAATTTCTTTTCGATGTAGTGAAAGCAGGAATTACATACAAGTTCTTTATGTTCTGTGCAACACACAAAACATGTTATTTTATGTAGAAATATCAATTTAGGATACATGAAGACACAAACTGGGGCTTCCTTCAGCGAGTAGTCAAACCAGTCGAACGCTCGATTGAAACGAGTGCAATGTTCATATTTTATACTTTAGAGTCTTATTGAGGAATATTTCATCCCTTGCTGATTCAGACCCGCGCCATAATGTGAGGAAAGGAGGTACAACAGAAGCACGTGAATACCATATATACAATAAGATTCTAAATAAAAAAAACGCCAAAGAATCCACCCTGTCTGTAAAAAGCTGGTTCAATAGTCAGCGGATGTTAGCCTATGGTATGTAAAGCAATATTAACGTACATTCCCCATGCCTCAGAGTAGTCTCTTCCATATTGGTGTTAGGATGGGGGGGGGGCTTTATTCTTCTGCATGTCTTCACTTCATAGAGTCTTCATTGCTACTGATTGAGCCCCTGACTATAAGCTGTTAGGAAATGTCCATAAATGAATTTTTCTCAGAGGTATATTTTTATGTATGTATATTTCTCTAATGTTTACTGTGAAAGATTAGGGATTTATTTTGTGTCCTCGGTGACCTAGCTAGCCACCATTTAATGACAATCCACTCTTGTATACTCTGGATTTCTTTGTCTTGGGGGAAAAATAATAAAAATGTTTATCTTAATGATTGCTTTTGGTTTGTTTTTTTGATCCTCCTGTGATCATTTGTTGTTGTGAACAGAAGCTGAGTCAGGCGCTAATCTCCAGCTAGCTCGACTCCCCGCTGGCTTCCCGCCAAGCGCTGCAACAAAGTCATTTGAACTAGAGATCTATTTCTAGGGTGGAGTCAGCTGTGCTATTATCGGCGTCTCTAACACGGCAACGACCTGCTTTTAAACCTTTATTTTCTGCTCCTGAAGGAGAAAAGACATCCTGTGTGTGCTCATGGCTTTAACATCATGAGGCGTAAAACACAACAACAAAAGGAACACAAACCTAAATAGAAAAAATGTCCCAGGAAAATACATTTCTTTAACAAGCAAGGATGCACAATATTAAAAAACAACATATTGAAGATGCCCTATTGAGTTTTTTTTATAAACAAACAAAAGTTGTTTAACTTCACTTAATGACCAAATAGCAATTATTTTAACAAACATGTTTCCTCCAAAGTCAAACATTTGAACATCACCTTTACTTCTTCCTCTTCACTGAATTGTCTTGCACAATACAAACACAACGGGCCAAACATTGCGCCATCGAAAAATCTTTGTTTACTATTGTGCTTTATTATGTGTTAAGCGCTATCTTTAAAAATATATATATACAATACATTTCTGTTAAATTTTACATATTTTTGTTATTTTATTTTCATGCAGTATTGTGCCTACATTTTATTTCCTGGTTATATAACTATTAAATGCACAACACACGGAGGTAATGCCTTGTAAGTGAATACTCCATTATTTAGCAATAGACTTACATACAAATCTGATATGTTTATTCTCAAAATATTTTCCGATTATTGACAGAGGCAGGTATCATTTTGGGGTCGTAACAACACCTGAAAAGACACAAACTAGGCTCAACACATCCAGACTGTCTAGGAATTCCCTGTTAGTGTGAATAATTGAACACTCGGGATGCTCAAATGAAATGGCACCTCTGAAATGTGCCTCTCTGTAAAATGAATGAATCTTTCCCAGTTTCCCATCAGCATGACGGTGCGTTTAAAATCTGAAGTGAGGCATTCGAGCTGAGTCAGTAATCCCCCGGACTAAAATCAGAGCGGCAGATAGTCCCCTGCTGGCCTTAATCTTACTCTGCCTTTATATAAACTCACCTCGGCAGATGAGCGGTACTTATCAGCTCCACTCACTGCGCACATTTCTCAGAAATATGTAAGTCTAAAGCAGTCAGTACCGCTCATAAGACACTGCAGCAGACCTCACTGAAGAGCAGATCAAATGTAATGTACGTTTTCTAGTAATGCTGACAAAGATATTTCACCACAAGGTCCATTTGTAAACTGTTGGTTCTGGAGGTTTGGTATCACATGATCTATATCAGCAGATGAGGTTCTCCCTCTCCTCTAGTGAGTTATATAGGTTTCTGTGCAAGTAAATGGTCTGCAAAGGCTAACATCCCTGTGTTCCCTCCAGAGGGAGTTTCTCTCCCCCCCCTGCCTGAAACGCCTCCATTGGACGTCTTTGTTTACTTCCATAACATAGCGACATCACTATGCAACACTGTATTGGCTAGCGTTTCAACACATTGTACGTTAAGGGGCGGGACATCTCTAAGCGGTTGACCAATCACAACAGAGCCAGCCAGCTAACCAATCGGAGGAGAATGGGCTCTGGTTTCAGACAGAGGGTGGAAAGAGGTGCTGCAGCACAGGCAGTATGAGAAAAATAAAGAGCTTTTTGAACATTAAAGCATGTCACAGTAGAGACACAAAATACAACTATGAAACCTGTTAAATTAGCATAATAGGACCCCTTTAAATTGCATTCTTGAAGTTAGAAACAGTTTATCACAAACAAATCTCATATCAGTTAGTAACCATTAGGAGCTTTTTATTATCTCACATTATGTAACTCGTTTTTAGGTTGCAACCTTGTGCAAAGGGAAAAAACTGTGTACACAACAGTGTAGTATTCAGATCCTTCTTTTACGATTACAATTAAGCTCAGCTGTCTCCAATTACCCGTGACGTGAGATGTTTTTACACTTCGTTGGAGCCACCTGTGCTAAATTCAACTGATTCAATCCAATTCAGAAAGGCAGAAACCTGTCAGAGCAAAACACAATTACCTGCAGAGCTCAGAGAAAAGATGGTGTCGAGGAACAGATGGAGAGCTACACAATTACATCTGCTTCATCGAAGGCTCTCAAGAGCACTTCAGCCTCCCTAATTCTTCATTGGAGGAAGTCTGTAAATCATCCTTCCTGGAGCAGGCCACCTGGTCAAACAGAACCTGATGATCATAATGGATGAGCTCCAGAGTGTGAAGACTGAAGAAACTTCCAAAAAGACACCTATGGGTGCAACGCGCCAAGAAGTGGGCTTTATGTCGGCTAGAAGGAAGCTATGGAAGGAAGCTTCTCCTCAGTAAAGACAAGGAAGTCTGGTGAAAACAAAACTGAGATCACTTTTTGATCTCAATGCTAGGGGGGAGAAACTTCTTCTGGAGGTAACTTTGGAAGATAAGCCTTTGCAGACCATTTACATGCACACAAACATAAATAACAACCTACAAGAAGAAAGAAAGGCCTCTTTAACCTTCTGGAGTCTGAGGGTATTTTCTGGATATTTAGACGTTTCCTTAAATCACCTTTTAAATGTATTTCTTATAAAATGGCATCCCATGTGTTACATATCAAAATGTTCAGGACAAATCTCTGGTCTTGCTATAAATGCAAATGACCCTCCCTACAGACCGATCATGCAGGCTGCATGGGGCCTCACATTGCGCAGGGGGCCTCGGCTTATGAGCTCGGCTTATGAGCTCGGCTTGTGCGCAGTTCTCAGCGCAGTTCCGCCCGGCTGACACGCGAGAGTGAGAGGCGACAAGGGGAGCACGTCTGTAACCCGACATCGTTGCAATTAATCGACATCTGATCAATCACAGCTTTGATACGGCCACTAGTGAAGGTGAAGAGATGTCGGCGAAATTTACCATTTACCTCACTGTATAAAAAAGTAACTGCGTTGATAATAATAAACAGGAATTATATCAGAGTACTTTGTTTCCAAAAAAAATTGTTTCACTCCTGTTGGTTGGGGGGGCGGGGGCCTGATCTCACAATGTCGCTTGTGGCCCCAAGTTGGCAAGGGACGGCCCTGCTCACCTTAGAGCACTGTGTGATGAGATAAGTAGCTCTAAAGCTTAACATTTGACATCCGATTTTCGGAAAATCTTCAAAACTCTTGTTAAAACACAATGTCATCAAATGTTTTTTTGGTTACCAAAGTATTAGGATCACAAAAGTAGTGAAATATTTGAATTACAATAAATGTGTAATTCATGTCTAAAATAGGTGTTCATCACTCTACTTTCAGAGATATAGAAAATGCTTTCTGAATGCACTGTCAGCACCTTTTTTAAGCTGATATGGCAAACATGTCGCCTATTTGTACCCAGGCGGTTAACTTCCTCTTTAAATGCATGGTGTTACAAAATAATGATCCAAAAAACATTCTAGACATCAACTCAAGAAGAAGAAAACACCTGATGGAAAAAACCCAAACTTCCTGTTTTACAAGGACAGGAAAACAGACAGAAATCCTTACTGAAACAAAATGAAAGTATTTCTCATTATGTAACCATGGTGTCCTATTTCACGACAGTTTAAAGTATGCATTACACAAGTCATGTAGAATACATTGAGACCATCTGCCCTGTGCTACAGCAGCGGATATTTAGCTCTAATCTAATATGATCTCAAATGTAAATCCATAAATCATAAAAGTAATGGCAGGGATAAGTATACGTTATATAAAAGTGGGTTTAAAGGATTGAAAAGTAATAAATAACACTAATTTATAGTGACTAAAGTAAGAGAGTTTGTTGTGAGGGTTCATTTGACACAGACAAAACGAGTCGATAATTCATCAGGTGAATTTATTGTAGCAAACAACACAAATACAAACAAAGCTCATTCACTCTCACACACAGAACGTCAGCGTCTCTACTTGTCCTTCTCCTTCTGCTCCTTCTCTTTCTTCTCCTTCTCCGCCTTGGCCTCCTCCGCCTCGTGCTTCTTGATCAGCACCTCCACCTCCTTCTGCTTCAGCACTTTGATGACGGTCTTTCCGTTCTCGCGGGTCAGAGTGGCGAGCTCCACTGAAACAAAAAGACAGACGGTAAGGAACCAGCTGCGGGGAAGCGCACTGCGAGGTGACATGTAGCGAAGGAATGTCAGGTGTTATTGTCTAGATATCTGATGCACGTTGGAACAGGGACAGTGACACACGATCATCGACTGAGCTGCTTTAAAAACAGGTTGGTCAGGTGTCATAGGGCTTAACCACATGTAGACTCAGCCATGTGACCGTGAGAACTGAAGGTAAACAAATAACACGACATTGAAAGCAGCTGGTTTTTATTTTTAGGGAGTGCTGTTAAACCATGAAGGCTAACAAAAAAACTAAAAGGTCCAGTAATTGTTAGTTTGCAGAAGTCGCATACCCCTTGTTGATATGGTCTCTAAAAGGGGATTGCGCTGTTATCCCTAGAGTAACTCGGTCCGTTGATCGGCAT